CATACATACAAGAACAAAAACTGCTCGGAGCAGTTTTGAGACTTAGGGTAAATTGCCATAGCAACATGTCTCGACTAAAACCTACCCACCTTTCGTAGTACGGGTTAATCGCGAAGTTACACCACACGTCATCAAGTTACTCGCAAAGTTACCCCGATAAGCCAGTTACCCCGCTTCGTAGTACAGGCCACAGGAACAGGAACTTGTATACAGAGGCTAACCAGAATAACACAGGACAGGTGAGAACAATTAACAAGGGCTGGCAAAACAGGCAACAGGTGAAACTAATAATTAAATCAAGGAACTCAGAAACTAACAGGGAAACTAAGAAACAGAATATACCGAAGACAAGTAACACATAATCACAAACACAGGAACCTGGCAAAACCCAAAACAAAAAATGGAAACTACAAAACTCAGGAAGTAGAAAAACTAATACAAAAGGAAACACTATGGAACAAAATATACTAAAGACAAACAGAGGTGGCTGGATTCAAACACAAGACAACAGGGTTTACTGGTAATCACACACTCAACTCATTGAGCCATGTGGCAGTCCAGGGAGCAGGGGAAACACACTAAAGACTTTAACAATGAGGAGGACAGGATGGCCAGCGACATCTGCTGGCCAAACGGGGAGGAGACATGAAAGACTGTGACTGACGGGTGCAGACATTGACAGTAAGGCAGCTGAGGAGAGAGAAGTGAGGAGAGGCGACACTTAGGAGAGGCTGCAGTCTCAGCCGCATGGGGAACATCTTGCTGAATAAATAAAGGGCTTATTATGGCTCATCATGGCGCCTCCAAACAACCAGGAATAAGCAGCAAAATACCAGGGAAACATTCATGGTGATAAACTGTAATAATGTATCATCACGGTCAAAAGATCTCTCTAAGGGTGTGAAGTGTTTGTATGTACAATGTAGGTCAGTTTTGTATACTTTTGAGAATAGGGAAAATAGGAAATAAGGAAAATACTTAAATTTTGCTAAAAAATGATCATGAAATGAATATTTCAATAAGCATCATTATGCAAAGTGTTACAATTTAAAACTACATATAAACAGGGAAAGTTAAATTTTGAGGACCACATGGATTTTAATTGTACTCTGATGACTCAATTTAAAGGGTGACTCATGTAAATTAACAGTAACAAACAGGCTGAATATGGTTCAGTATAAAATTTCATACTTACAGTAAAATCCCTCCAAGCGCTTTTTTTCCTGATACAATAAATAATCCTTGATAATGATGCAGGCACAGATTCCCAAAACAGCCACTGCAATCGGAATTGAATATTCTGAAAAGAGAAAGATCACATCAGTCTGTGGTGTATAATTAACACATTCCCAGTCACATGACACCAGGGTTGGGTTATACTGGAATACAGGCGTTGGAGAGAGAGATTGTGTGGGGTTGTGTGGCTGGCCCCCCCAGAGAGTATGCACCTGCTGCACTGAAAAAAGAGAATTGCTGGACCAACTTAAAAAAATTGCTTCAGTTGGTAACACACAAATGAATTAAGTTTTTTCAAATCAAGTTATCAAGTTCAATGAACCCATTTGCTTTAAGTTAGGTTTACTGAATAATCTGATTACATTCAAATCAATAGTTTTTATTAATACAACTGAAATTTTAGACAAGTCAACTTAAAGTTTGCAGTTTTTACAACATAGTTATTTGCTTTATAGAAAAGTAAAATACTGCAGCATAACAACCTACTGTATAGTATGATTTCAATAAGTCTTTTTTTGTGTTAGCTGTAGTGTTAGAAATAAATGCACTTCTTTTATACACTTTGAATCTCCGGCTGAATGATGCTTCGTAATTAAGTCACTTCACTGATGCGAACCGCCCTAAGCTTTTAAAAGACCCGAGCTCGACTTAAAGTATCGCTAGAGTCTCTGCGGCAGAGTTTTGCTATAGAGCTGCTACGTTGCCGGGTGGGAGTTACGTTCACGGGTTGGATGTTCTAACTCAGGTTAATTAAGTAGTCATGGTGCAATTAATGAATTCCATTAATTTCCTGGAACTAAATCTTCCAGTAACTGAACAATTGGGACTTCTATAATATTGTTTATTTGAGAAACAAACCATTCAATCATAATAATTAACTAATTAATTAATAATTAATAGCTAATAATTAATTTTCCTACAAATTTGTGGAGACAAATCGATTGAGCTATTTTTCCCTACATAACCTTCACTGGCTACCCATGACTTTTAGGACAGATTTTAAAATTATTTTACTCACTAATAAAGCAACGTGGCACCAATGATCTTGTCACTGATCTTTTAATCATCTATACTCCCCCTAGGAGTCTTACGTCTTCAAATTCTACGATTCTCCACATACCAAGAGTTACAGAGAAACATCTGTAACTCTTGGTATGACAATTCTGACAAACTGTTGAAGAAAGTGAAGGCAGACCTACAAAAACAGTCCAGATTAAACTTTCATTTGCCAGCAGAGTGCAGGTTATAAAAATGAATATCTTGCTGAGATTTTTCTTTTTCTTCCAGTGCCTTCCTCTCTTTTTGACCAAATCCTTCTTCAAGCAGCCAGATAAAATTATTCTTCCATTTATATGGGCAGGCAAGGTAAAAAGACTGATAGCCTGATCTTATGTGCTACTACTGGGGAGCAAATATACAGAGAGTATGCAGCTGGAGATATGAAGATGGGCTGGACTGGTGTAAAATGGCGTCCCCGTCCTGTCACACATCCTCACTTGTATCTCTGACATGCTCCCCTTTACCGATCACAGGGTCAAACTAGGGTCAACCCTGAAAATATGGACGCAGTTTCATAAACAATTTAAATTATGCAGTCTTACTGTCTTGGGCCCATTATGCAATAGCCATAATTTCTGACCGTCCAACCTTGACTCTACATTTACTCTATGGGGAGATAAAGGCATCACATCATTCCGGGATTTGTACATAAGTAATGGTAGTGGTTTGGGGATGTCGATGCTCACGTGCTCCATAAGTTTGTGCGCAGATTATTTTGCCTGTTCATTACCAAAACACAATTACTCATTTAATTGATCTTGCATTACATCATATTACAGTGTCTAAAGGTATTGTGAATGAGGTACATTTTGAGTATCCTGCCAGAATTCAGGACTGTGTATTCAGCATTCAGACACTACATGCTTATTCGTAGTGACCCTCAACCCTCACACTTACACAGACGAGTAACAATAAAAGAGACAGTGTCATAAACTTGTGAAGTTTGTGGACGACACAACTCTGTGAGGCTCATCACCAAGGGCGATGAGACTCACTACAGGGAAGAGGTTGACCTTCTGACCATGTGGTGCAAGAACAACAACCTCCTGCTGAATGTCAGCAAGACTAAGGAGATTGTTGTCAACTTCCAGAGAGATCACACTCAACATCTGCCACTGACCATCGACGGTGCTGCTGTGGAGAGAGTGAGGAGCACCAAATTTCTGGGGGTGCACATCAGTGAAGACCTCTCCTGGACCACCAACACTGCAACACTGGCAAAGAAAGCCCAGCAGCGCCTCTACTTCCTGCGCAAACTCAAGCAGGCAAGAGCTCCACCACCCATCATGACCTTCTTTTACAGAGGAACCATTGAGAGCATCCTTTCCAGCTGCATCACTGTGTGGGGTGGGAGCTGCACTGAATATAGCAGGAAAGCCCTACAGCGCATTGTGAGCACAGCTGAGAGGATCATTGGTGCACGACTTCCCTCCCTGAAAGATATATACACCACCAGCCTCACCCGCAAAGCCATCACCATTGTGAGCGACGCAAGCCACCCCGCACGCAATCTGTTCAGCCTCCTGCCCTCTGGAAGGAGGTATAGGAGCCTCCGCTCCCGCAGTACCAGACTCAGCAACAGCTTCATCCACCAGGCTGTGAGACTACTAAACTCTCTCCCCCCCCCACACTCAGCGCCAGCCAACAGAGCCACCAGACTGGTAAGTGACCAGGAACCTGCCCCCCCCTCCCAAAAGAAAACACTCTGGACTCTGACCCACAGGAACAACTACCTCTGCACTATGCAAATTGCACACATCTGTTACCATTATTATTATTACCATTACAGCTGCTATTATTGAATGTCTCAGCACACAAACACTTTATAATACTGGAAACACTTATTATTACACTCTAATTTCTAAGAGTATATGCCTTAAGCTACCTGCACTTTATATACTGTTACTCAGTAGTTAGGATGTGTTTTTGTTGTGCCTTTGCACTTTGCTGTTTGTCCTATCCGGTCATGTCTTGTCTGCGCATGGGACAGTGAGGAACGTAATTTCGATTTCTTTGTATGTCTAGTACATGTGAAGAAATTGACAATAAAGCTGACTTTGACTTTGAAACTCACTTTTCACTGTGAACACAGACGTGTTTTTATCCATCCATCCCCCTGCTGTCCAGACCCACACATAAGTCAGAATTAATGGGTTTAGATCAATCAGGGCTCAGTCCCACTCACATAGACCCAGGAATCGAATGCTCAGTGTGAAGCTACAGTACTGCCCACTGTGTCACAACACCTCTGGGAACCAGCAGAGGGCGCTCACAGTCTCTCCTCCCTGCACCACTCAGAGCTCGCCAGTTCCTATCAGTGCACCAGCCTCTAGTTCCCTCCTTTCCCCTCTGCCTGTTTAAACCCCAGCAGTCCTCATTCAGACCTTGAACCCCTGGTCTGTGTTTCCCTACCTGTGCTAGTCCTTGCTCTCAGTGTTTGCACCTGGTTCTGCTGTGTCCTAGTTACCCTGTCCCTGCTGTTCCTGTCCCATACCCTGATTTTACCCTTATTAAACCCTGTTCTCATCCTTCCTCGCCTCTGGATCTCTGCCTCCTTTTCTGCCCCCCCCCTACTTCACTACTGTACTTAAGTACTAAAAAGCCGTATCTGTACTCTATTGGAGTATTGTTTTTTTCTCCTACTTCCACTTTTACTTCAGTACATATTTTCGATGAGTTTAATACTTTTACTCCGATAGATTTTTTTAAGTGCTGCATCGTTACTCGTTACAATTATAAAAATGTTACGAATCATTCCAAACCCACATTATCACTGCCAGAGCAGTAGATGGCTCTGTCACAGGTTTGAATAAGCTGGCTCATCATTGAGCGAATCTGACGATCAAAGAAGACAGCGGTGCCTGCCTGCATTGAGAGCACTTTAGTTTGTTTTTGACATGGAAAACCCAGAAATTCCTAAGCGCTAGATAAGTTAACTAACGTTAGGTACGCACGGTTCATAACATGCTGCGATGTTCACTTAACTAGCTGGCTATCATAAAGGCTGTCACGCTGAATGGTGTTTTTGATATATATATATGATGTCTTTTGACTGCTTTCTTTAATAACTACATAACACAATACTTGTACTTTTACTTTCAGTATTTGAGTAGTAAATTTTAAAATAAACTACTTGCAATACTTAAGTACAAAAAATGTTGAATACTTTAGTACTTCCACTTAAGTATGGTGCTTAAAGAGCACTTCGACTTCTACTCAAGTCACTTTTTTGATAGAGCACTTGTACTTTTACTCAAGTCTGGGTCTCTAGTACTTTATACATCTCTGGTCGTGACACACTGAGCCTCCACACAGCAGAAGTTATTAAATGTATTAGAAACACCCACCTCCATTTACACACATAATAAGTATGAAAATGCAGGGAGACTCACCTAGTTTAAATGTGCTGTTCATCCAGGCAAAGAGTTGGGAATAAACAGCAAGGAACAGCATGTTAAACAGTGTGGGATTATCTGTAAGGCAAACAGAGCAAATCAGACACCCTCATTCTCTCATCAGTCTATAGAGATATAACATGATATTAAATAACAAAGTATCCTTGGGCTTTTCCTCCCCTGGGATAAATCCTGCCGTCCCCAGGGCCCGACTGCACTGTGAGGTCATGCACAGTAAGGCCCATGATCCGAGGGCAGCGGGGCTCAGAACACAGGCCAAGGAGTCTAATGCCCTTTCAGGTCAGACGGTCCCTTTGTGGCATGATGAAGGTAGGGGCCGGCTGAGGGGGGATCCCAGGCTGTCCATATGGTGGCCAGGTGCCCCCCCCCCCCCCCCCAGCCTGTACACCCTACATGTCATCCTATATCAGGTCCACACAATAACATCCTACTGGGTAAAATGTGAGGTGCACAGGGTACAAGTGTAATCTGTCAAACAGCAGAACCTACAAACTCCACACAAAGAGCAGAGGTGGGACCCAAACCCCCAGCCCTGGAGTTACAGTTTTTCTCAGTTGCTTTGATGCATTTCTCACAACAGAATTGAAGTTCTCAAAACTGCTCGTTCAATTCAGTTGTGCAGATCATAACAGCCATTTCTGGTTGTTTTCGTCATTTTGCAATTGCTTTAGTACACTCAGGCAGATGCTTATGTGCAATTCTCAGCTAAATCATACATCAGTGGTTGCTTATGTCATTATGATCAAAATGCATTGTGCTAGCCCTCTTTTACATAGTCATACACTCCAGACAAACTTGTCATTTTGTCATTGTGAAAGTCATTGCAGTTAAAAGTGTTCAACAAGATATCATTAGCTGTCAAGAGTATTTTAAAGGTTTCTACAAAACTTTTTTGGTATGTATTCACAATATTTCCTGCACCATTTTCATATACATGGATGAGACTGGCTTCAACTTGGCCAAAGGAAGGAGACGTGGGTGTAATCT